AATAATACTTATTTCGTCATAATTTCAACCGCAGAAAAAATTATCATTGAAATCGTCAAAATTTGATTGAAAATTTAATAAAAAATTAATTCTACCAAAATATTTACATCAAAATATTCTAATGTAAGCTAAAAATTTAAAATTCTGATGGAGAAATTTGTTACCCTTGAATTTTTTCATTGATATAGATTTACTTTCTTGTAATTCTCAACCTAATTTTTTTTCCAGTAATATATATAATAACAAGTCGACCGACGAAATCAAATTATGTTCTTGTGCTATTATTTGTAAAGGCTAAATAATATTTTATACATTTCATTTTATATATATATATAAAAAAAAAAAACAATCTTTGTTTTATATTAGAAAGTACATTTAATTTTTTTATATATATATATATATATTCATCAAACATTTATACATGTTTACAATGAAAAGAGGCAGTGATCACAAGTTGGGGAAAAGGAAAATGGTAACAAAGTGGTAATTTGGACCACATGAAATTGCAGTGAAATTACCATAAGAAGCATACAGAAGAATGAAAGCACGCGTCTCTGTCCCTCCCTTCAACTCATCCACACCCTACAAAAGTCTACTCTTCCTTTTTCAATATTTTGGCTTTTTCCTTGCTCAAACAACTGTTATCATCCAATTCTATTTTTATTTTTTTTCTTTCATTCATTTTTCAACTATTTGATATATAATTTACATACATAAAATTATTTTCTTCTACAAAAATAAAGTAGTTACTAATTTTCTTCCACAAAAATGAAAGCATAAAATATGGTAATTGAGTTAGGTTTTTCGAATGGTATTGGTGAAATTTTCGAATAATTGAGTTGTTTGTTGGTTAATAGAATCAGAGCTGTTAATATGGGCAATTATACTATGTTCATTGGGATTGATGATTAAATGAAAACAATCAATGAAAAAAGCATTTTATTTCTTAAAGAAAATTGTTGTTCGCTTGTCTTCGCAACAATGGGTCTGTTCAAAATACACGTAAGCGGGCTATTTTACACGTAGGCCCATCCAATAACTCTGACCTATTACATGCAATCAGAGCACCAAAAAACGAATATTTTTTCACTTACAGGACCATTTCTAAAAGCGAACATTTCTCGGGACCAAAAGCAAAAAGGGAGTCAGTATTTTGCCGAGAGCATTTGAGACCTGATAAATTATGAAATTGCATAAATTCAACATAAAAACAATTGAACACATTTTGAGAAGTAGTGTATAGAAATGGCTTCTTTTTTTTTTTTATTACAAGTGAAATGTCTCTTTCTCTACCTTTACATTACCTTAATGTACACAAACTTCGAATCTAGGGAAGTTTCTTCCCCATCCTCTTCTTCTCCTCTTTTCTTAAAAACCTACACATGCTTATATGTAGAATCCTATAGAAAAAAGCACCTTTAATCTTTTTCCATATCGCTATGTGCCTTAGCCTACAGTAACATTTACAGCCATATGTCTATTTATGATGTACACACACACACACACCACATAACAGTTATGTGTGTGTATGTTATTAATTATAGCATCAATTTGTCTCTTTGAGACATTTACATCCACGTCAACTTCCAACCTTAACTCCATTAGTTAGTTTTCTGCCAAGAGTTCAATAATTTTATTTAGTAATACTTCAAATATATTCGACTTTTGAAGAAAATCCCTCTCTGTGTATATAAAAGTCGAATTTCGCGAGTTTATGTGTCAACTCTTCTGCTTCGTAATATTATTTGTCAAATTTTACGGTTTCGTAATTTATCAGCTTCTCCTGCTTTAAAGTAGTCTATAGATATTTCTTTTTTTTTTTTTTGAAACGATAAAGATAATATACAAAACGCACAAATGTGCGAACAGAAAGTAGCTCAAAGCTAAATGATAGGCGAATCCAAAGATCACCTAGAGACCAAGCTACCAACAGTAGAAAGGAGACTTACCGATCCTAAAAAGATGTATAATACCCGCCCACACTCGGGGCACACAGATGTCAACGACCCAAACGACTCCTAAACAAACAACAAAACATACAACAACAAAAAACTAATCAAACTAAAACCGAGCCCATGTCTGTAACATGTCTTAAATTATAAAACGCTATACTAACTTATATTATAAACTACTTTACAAGATAATAACTTTTATATATATGATCAATTTTCATATATAATATACTAAAATAGTTATCTCTACATTATCTTCGATTTGAATATTGTATATACAAAGTAAATGAATAATTATATATATGTTTATAATAAAAATCAAATTGTCTATTAATATTATCTGAAAAAAGTAAAATTATTTATTGATTAAATAAATCTATCTATAAAGTAATTATAACTTAGAAAAATTAACATAATATAATACGAGCAAGTCGTCCAAGTGACGAATATCATTTTAAATATTTATGATATATACTTTATAAAAAATTATTTGAAAATAAAAAAAAGTATTATTTCATAAGTTTAAACAAAATACGCTCATACAGTACTGGTAATTTAACATTGTAGAAGTTTTAAGTAGTCTGGGATTACAATTTTATATAAACAAATGAAATTAGCACTGTCGACTTAGAAAAATGCTAAAAGTCGCGTAATCGAACCATTCTTCCCAATAATAAACTTCCAATAAAAAAATTGACATATCAACATTTGTTAACTACATCTAAGAGTGACATCCCCATTACCGGATTTGTTAACCTCCAATAAAATATTGACACGTGTCAAATGTGTATTTAATGCAGGACACATGTTAATACATTATTTGCGAATAACTATAGATGACTTTATATGACGAACCATCCAATGCTGCACTCCACTATATTATATCCTCCAATCAATGTCAATATTCTGTTGACATGTTTCCATTGTCAACAAAATACCACCACCGTTAGTTTTAGCTAGAAAACAAAATTCCATTTTATTTAAAAGTGGAGGTAATACAAATGTAGTTGTGATGTAGCAAGTTGAAGCAATAGGAATATTGCTGAGAATAATCAGTGCAAATGGCATAGGAGTTGTTATAATCAAGGTTGTTAACACCGACCGGTCATCAAGTCATATTTTTAGTCAACTAATTTTTTAATGTATATAATATTTTTTATTATATAAAAACATTATTAGTTAAATATTTAGAGATACTATGAAACATTCAAATGGTTAAAATTAATTGATAAGTAGTTTTTAAATATATTTTATTTATATTAAAAATACTTTTAAATATATTATTGAAAAAAATTGAAAAAAAAAACGAGGCCAGTCGACCTTCTCTGGCCGGCCGGTTTTTGACTTGTTTTAACCGATCCAATATCGGTTGTTGACCAGTTCTTGACTGGTTTCTTAAACTAATTAATTGACCAAGTCTTTAAATATTTTTTATTTTTATTAAAAATATGTTTAAATATATTATTTAAAAAAAATAAAAAAATAGGCCACTCGAAGTTCTGCAGCCGGTCAATTTTGACTTTTTTTAACTGGTTCAATTAATTGTTGACTGGTTGTGCTAGCAACCGGTTGATTCAACGTACTAGTCCCGTTGAATCAGTCGAACCAACTAGTTCGGTCCGACTTTGAAAACAATTGTTATAAACAAAATATAAATTGATAAAAAAAGAAACGAAAGCATTGATCTCTTCTATTTCAAATCATCGAACTAAAGACAAAATTTTAAAAATGGTTCACTATGTTGGTCATTTTTCAAAAAAAGATTCATCATCTAGGACGTCATCAGAAATGGTCCACTAAGTTGTCAATTTAATCAAAACTCGCACAAACCAATATAGTACTAAAAGTGATCATTTTGAGTTGTCATTAATTTTTAGTACACTATATTGACTTTTGTACGAGTTATGATTTAAACAACAACTTAATGAATTCTTCTTAAAGACGCCATGGACCATTTTCAAAAATATGGTCAACATAGTGTAGTAAAATGGAATTTAGCCTCAAATTAAACTACACAGACGTACGTAGCAGAAGCTTAATTCATTTAAAACCATTTGGAGATGAGTTTTATTTCTAGCAAAAATAAATAAAATAAATAAAAAAATAACATCTGTATGTGTACGTTAAGCTTTATTACGGTGCTCACTTGAAAATTCGTTGGGACATGAAAAAGGAATTTCATATTAAAGTGACATTTGCCATTGCATGGTAATTAAGACCTATATAGCACTCCTAGAATGGGGACGCCCCCATTTTTTTTTATACATCCCCTTTGTGTTTTATAATAAAACAAAACAAAATAATGCAACAAAAATTAATCATCCCAAACCATAAATCTGAACAATCCAATTATATTCAAGGGAAATGCTAAAGTCCCGTTACGGAATCAATCAGTCAGAGCTTGTAACCGTTAGATCATCATGCAACCGTCAGAGATAGTTGATCTAACGGTTACAAACCTCGACGGAATAGTTCCTTAACGAACCTGTAACATCTTCCTATTTAATTATATATTTAATTTTATATATCCAATGGATGCACTTAAATACATAGAAAAAAGCATAAATATTACTCACACACATCCATATGTTAGCACAAAACACGTAACTAAACAAATACTCAACAGTCTCAACGGCACCTAAAGAAAAAAGGTCGTTTGATTACATGCACCAATAAAATATTACTACAATGTCTGTTTATAATTAAGTTTGAAAATAAAATAAGACAAAAAAAAATGCACAAAATCATAATTGAAATTAACAAACCTAGTAATAACCCACATGAATCCCAATACCGATGATGAGATCCTCAATTCCAAAACAAATGTTGTGTTCTACGATTTCAACTTCGAGTAAATTAATAATTGTCGTGTGTACAAAAATTATCATATTAATTTTTAGGCTTAAATTTCTTTTTTTTTTTTTTCTTCTCATAGTTATAATTTTTGTACACACAACAATTCTTGCAGCAGAAGTAGAACAGTCTAAGAACTTGAGAAAATTGGCAAGTAAATCTGACCGCCATTGCCGAATATTCTACTAATTTAAGTTAATGTCTTGGTGGTAGAAAATACTGCGTACCCGCCATGGCCATGAACCCGCTTAACTGGGCCGGAGAATAAATAGAAGGGTCGACCACCACGTTGCTGGCAGCAGCAGCCGCACCGGAGGTGGCGGACGGAATCAGATCGGCCGGGGGCTGTTGTTGAGATCCTCCGCCGCTGGAGGTGCCCTCTCCTCCTCCTCCTCCTCCGACGAACTGGTTATCCGGGCCCTGATCGTAGAGAATCCCCTTGAAAACATGGCCGCCAATGTTGACTGCCGTTTGATAAGCCAGCTGCTCTTCTCCACCGTCGTCCATCGGACTCACCTTAACGCACCGGAAAACCGCCGGCGAGTTCAGCTCGGCCGGGAAGTTCCCCACCTCAAACCCTAGTATCAGTATCACCACACATACAAACAAACATTAATCAGAAAAAAAAAATTATAAATTAAACACAATATCACACATTCCAATAACCCTTCTTTTTGTTTCAAAAAATAAAAAAAAGCAAACTTCTTTACTACCTGCTTTGGACTTTTGGATGCGTCAATTTTACTTCGTAACAGTAAAAGAGAAAGTAAAAAAAAAAAAAANAAAAAAAAAAAAAAAAAAATGAAAAGGTAAAGTGAGTAGTTGGATTGAAAACTTCATTCATGTGCACGCAAATGATACACAATAATACTAGGAAACAAATAACACAAAGATCATTATATTGTAGGCTCTAATAATAGGTGTCAATCAATAATACTGTATTGTATTCAATTCCTCTTGCTATTGGTTTTATGAAGAGATCCCTCAAATTTCAAATAATGTACTTTTTATCTTGTTTCATCCACACACACACACACACTCACTCAAGCACTCAATCCCAAAATCTTTATCCAATATTATATATAATAATAATAATAAGTGAGATAAAATCTGAACCCATCATCATCACCTGCACCGCCGGAAGGTTGATCCCTGAGGCGCTTAGGGTTTTCGCCGGCGGCCGCGAGCTGGCGCTCGCGGCGTTTGGCGGCGGGGACCCAGGTGCTTTTAACGTGGGTCGGGCAGGGGAAGCCGCGGCTCTTGCAGCAGGTCCGGCAGCGCATGTGGACGCAGTCCTTCTTGGCCTGGTTCCCGCAGTCCTGGCAGCTGCTGGACCCGTCGTCCTGCCCGGCGACCCGAAACCCTAACCCACCCGATCCGGAGGGGTTGGTGTAGGCCGAGCTGTTAGTGGCGACGGAGAAGGGCGGGGGCCCGGCGTGGAGCTGCTTCTGGTGCTGGTGCTGGTGCTGCTGGAATTGGTAGCCGTGCTGCCATAGCTCGAAGCCCTTGCTGTAGATCTCCTCGTTTTTGGAGAGGAATTGGCTGTAGTTAGTGGCTTCTTGTGCTTGCTGCTGTTGATGATCTTGCTCGTGCTGGGTCTTGCCGCCGCCTAGAGAGAAAAAACCAGACATTTCGAGTCCATTGAAAACAAGAAACAAACAGTGTTTTTGTGTGTGTGTGATATTTTGGGGGATTTGTTCAGGGCTGCAGCTTTTTTTGTCTAGAAATTTAGGAATTTGTTCTTTTTTTTTTAGGTTTTAAAGAATGGGGGAATTGGGAGTAGAGAGAGGTGTCTGAAATTAGTGGAGGCTGGAGCTGAGAGAGAGGGCGGAGGAGAAGGTGGTGAATTGAATTGAATTGGATGGGTCTGTCTGTGTGGATGAATTTTTTGGGGGGATCGCATTAATTAAAGCCGCGGGGCTCTGTGAACGCCGCCATCACTCACTGCAAAAACAACTCAGCCTGTATCCTCAATTTATGACCCCACAGTAAAATACTATATATATCTCTCTCACTCTCTCTCTCTCTCCACTTTCTCTCTCACGCAACACAACACCAATGCTACTATCGTGCGCCTTGGCATACCTAACAAGGTGTATCAAGGCAATTTAAAATGAACAATTTAAAATGAACATCTTACAGGTGTATCAACACATGTTTAAATATGTTTACACATGTTCATTTTATTATGTGACATGTTTATTTTAAAAATGCCTTAGGCGCACCTAAATATTTGCGCCACAACACTGCCTGTGGTTAGTAGTTAGTGTAAAATACTAACTATGGTATGTTCAATTGGTCATACATTTTTTTCCTTTTTTTTACTAATTAATTACTTATATCCGGGCTAAATTTCATTTTTAGTCCACTATGTTAGCTATTTTTCGAAAAAAGTTCATTATATAGGGTGTCACTTTTAGTACACTATGTTGGCAATTGTACGAGTTTTGATTAAAAGTGACAATTTAGTGGACCATTATTGATGACACCCTATATGATGGACCTTTTTTCCGAAAATGGTCAACATAATGGACCATTTTTTAAATTTTGCCCACTAATAACTCATCGCCTCTCAATGTTTGGATGTCATGATCTATATATATATATATATATATAATTGTTGGCTAATAGCATTTGATAAAATATTTAATAACTCTTGAGGGAGAGCTTTGCCTTGTGGTCCTACCCGGCTCGATTCCGGATTAGTCGGTTCCTCTGTAGTTTCGGAAACCGAAAGGTCCATGTAACAAAAAAATAAAAAATAAAACCTCATTTCGTTTTCCCTCCAAAAACCGTTACAAAATTCCCTCCAAAAATTGTTACAAACTTTATCATTTATCTCTCTCTGTCTATATATATATATATAATTACTAATAATAAATTTAATAATATTGATTATTGTTTACCATATTTTTATGTAACAATCTTCTATAATTATTATTATTATTATTATTATTATTATTATTATTATTATTATTATTATTATTATTATTATTATTATTAATCCACCATATCTAATTAATGCTAAACTATTTCATTGCACTTTTTTTAGGGTTAATTAAGACAAAAACCGTTACATTTTATATTAACGAAGTAATAATTACACATTTTATTATATCATATAATAGTTATTATTAAAACTAATAACTATAGTTTAAACTAAATGATATATGAAAGTTACATAAACATAAAAAATTATTGTAAACTTTTTGCTAAAGTTATTTATTCTAAAATTAATATTATATTTTTTTTTTTGTCTTATTTAGCGATTGTATTTTTAAATAAGTTAATTTATTTTAATCTTATAGTAAAGTTCCTTAAAACTGCATAATGAAATGTTATAATAAATTTAATATTTTTAAGCTAATAAATTAGCGATCTCTCAAAATTATATTATTTATTATATTTTATGTAATTAATATAGCGGTTCATATGCAATCAAATAGTTATATACTATTTATTTTAACCAATGATCAAATTTTAAAACATAATATCATTATCTAATTTATATTTTTATTATTATATGCATAAATATAACTTACAATACTCTATGTTTAGAATATAATTCATTGTATAACTTATAATTTTAATACTATATGCATAAATGTAAGTTATAATATTCTGTTTAAATTGTGCAAATGCACAGGGTCGAATACTAGTTATAACCTAATTGTTTGATCCTCGTATTTAAAAAAAAAAAATACTTTCTTCATTAATTGATCATTGTTCGTTTATACATAATTTAAGTTCTATTAAAATCCAAATGAAGTTTTGTTTCGTATCGAACGGAGTACACAATACGTATCAACTAATTTGAGTTTTCATTTTAAGTAATATAAGAAAATCAGATTTATTTTGATATAAGAAAATTAAACTCTCAAACTAAATTGTAAATTGCTTATAAGTTAATTTGTTTAAACCTGATTCTTAAATTTATAAAACATGTAAAATTAGTATGCTACAAAATTTTAAAATACCAAAAAAAATCGAAACAATTATATTATATGCATGCGTAAAGTTATATGTGAGCAAAAACAGTTTTTTAATTAAGTCCTTAATTATATGAAAACACTCAAGCCTTAACCCCCTTTGAAATCCTGCACAATTTCAAAACACCCCCAAACAATCCAAAACCAAATGAGCAATCCTTATTGAGTGCCTTTCTCTGTTATGTTTTTATCTCTTCTCTTATCTTGTTGGCTGCATTTTTCTTTCTTTTTTTTTTAGTACAGGGACCTTCCGGTTTCCAGATCCACATGGGTACCGACTAATCCGCATTTTTCTTTCTTTGTTTCTGGTAGTTTTCTTTATGTAGGATGGGGTTGCAGATTCTTGTCCTTGTAGGGGCTATTGTTAGCATTGTTTGGTGCTATTTGTGATGTATTTCGATTAGGAAGCTAGATTAGCTATCCTCTCAGTTACCCAGAATTCGGGGATTCCCCGTGTGAATTTCTGTTATCTTTCTTTGTTGTTTTATGAGAAGTTATTATTGTTGGTTATAAAAAAAATAATACCCCCACTCATCAACCAGATACTTTGGCCTCCCTTTGATATATTGAAAAATATATAATAACTTGAGACCCTTTCTTATGTGGAAAACAAAGTGAAAAGAAAAATCTTAAATTGAAAAAAAAAATTCTCATTTTTTACAGGTAAAGAAGTGTTGTTTTCAGTCAATCATGGAAACCCTCCCTTTTACACAATGTCTTACATCTTATTGCCCAAAGCCACAAATCACATATTTGCTCAACAATTTGCCTCCTTCTGGTGGAGTAAAGGGAACAACAGCAAGAAGAACATCCATCGGAGATCTTGAAATCTTCTAACTCTGCCAAAGGGCAAAGGTGGGGGGATTCAAGAACCTTCACCTGATGAACCAAGCCATTATTGCCAAGCATATTTAGAATATTGTATCCAAACATAATCTTCTAGTCAACAGACTTGTGGGAGCAAGGTATTTTCCTTAGGATAACTTTTTCACAGTCTCAATGAAGCTCAACAGCTCATGGATGTAGAACTCTTGGCTTTGTGTGAGATGCTCCTTACTTTCTGGTTTGCGGTACCTAATCAGGGAAGGTAATAAAGTCAATATTTGGGACCACTCTTGGATCCCAAATATACCAGGATGCAAACCTTCAGAAAGTCAACCCCATGGACAATTCTCATACATTGGTTGAAGAACTTATTGATCCATATGAAAGTTATTGAAAAAGAGAACCAATATTGACACTATTCACAAAAAGATGAAAGTTATGTCAAAGACCTTGACCCATCTATAGAAGACAAGATTAGTTGGGACTATGATATCAAAGGGAACCTCTCAGTAGCCTTGGTCCATTCAAAATTGGTCAATGATAAATAGAGTAAGCTGGGTATTTATTGGAAGTATTCAAACAAACAAATCAACACATGATGAGGCTGTCATGCACAATGGTGCACCACCATGCACAAAGACGAGGAGGTACAACAAGTACAATGACCAAGGAAAAGATTCCCCTAACGTCATGCATGATGCATGCATATTATCAGCCAATGATTGGGTGGCAAATCACCATCCTAAGAGTTTGAATGAGATAATAAAGTATCTTGATTAGGAGCCTACGGTTCTACATATATATATGAACTGTATGAGCAGTGTTGAATTAATGAAATGAAAATCGATTTTGCCATCTTCAAGCTTTATGTGTTCTTGCTTAGCTTATTTTTCAACATGGTATCAGAGCCCTGGGTTCACACCTAGGGCCTGATCTTCACTTTCTTTCATCCCTAAACACCGTCTCTGACCATGAGTACATCCATAGAAGTT